ATAATAACACAATTTCATACTTCAAATATAAAAATATTTTCATTATAAAATATAAAGTACTCTATATACAACAAATTCATAATAATAAAATTCATAAATATCAAGTTCATAATAATAAAACTTAATAAATAAGTTTAAAAATTAAAATATAAATAGTATCAACATTCAAAATTCATGTCTAAGTTATCAATACTTCAAAATACAACTTTTATAAAGTCCAAACATGTTTTTATTTATTTATTTTTAATTTATATCTTTTGAAAAAAAATTTGGAAACCCGATTGTTCACCTATTTTTTTTTTCAACAACTAACCAATTTATTTCAATGAAATTTGGTTTAATTGCGTAACCAATCTGATGAGAAAATTGTTTTGATTTTTGCATTAGTTCTCGATCGGATTCGCTTGTCTGATCTGATATTTATAACACTAGTTGCAACCAATTCACTTGTTTTTTTTATTATCGTTCAATTTTTAATAAAATTTGACTTACATATTGAAAGGAATATAAAGTTGTAATTCAACAATTGAATCAACAAAATTCACTTTTATATAGTTATTGAATGATGTAGTAGTTATAAAAGTTACATCAATAAATGAATAGGGATCAAATTACATTTGAGTAACTTATATCAAATATTACACTATTTAATAACTTTCAATTGGATGATTATTTTTAAAACCTACTGTTAAATTAAAATTTCTTTTCTCTTATATCATACATGCAAGAATTTATATTAATTCAAACTTATTTGATACCTCATTCATAGATTAGAATTGATGTAATATATATACTTAAAATTTACTTAAAATTTACTTAAATATGAACAATTTTGTGAAGTCAAGTCTCTTTAGCTTAAACAACACATATTATCTTATAAACAAGCATTTCCAGGCTCAAGCAACAAACATTTTTTTTTATAGACAAGCCTCTCAATGCTCAAATAACAAGTATTCTTTTATAAATAAGTGTCTCCAGGCTCAAACCCAATAAATTAGAATCACTAAGGTTTACAAAATTGTTTTGTCTTCCTATCAAGATGTAGTACAACATATTACATACAAAGAACTTTACAGAAAGAATATGTTTAGTGCAAATACTTGCAAAAGGATTCTTCTATCTTCAAACTTATTTGATACCTCATTTATAGATTAGAATTGATGTAATATATATATACTTTAAAATTTACTTAAATATGAGCAATTTTGTGAAGTCAAGTCTCTTTAGCTCAAACAACACGTATTATCTTATAAACAAGCATTTTCAGGCTCAAGCTACAAACATTTTTTTTTATAGACAAGCCTCCCAATGCTCAAATAACAAGTATTCTTTTATAAATAAGTGTCTCCAGGCTCAAACCCAATAAATTAGAACCACTAAGGTTTACAAAGTTGTTTTGTCTTCCTATCAACACGTAGTACAACATATTACGTACAAAGAACTTTACAGAAAGAATATGTTTAGTGCAAATACTTACAAAAGGGTTCTTCTATCTTCTTCTTCTTCTTCTTCTTCTTCTTCTTCTTCCTCCTCCTCCTCCTCCTCCTCCTTCTAATTGTGAAGCTTCTTATATAGTAACTCCATATGAAGATCCCTTGCAAAATCTTAAGGTTCTTCACAAGTTTATTTCGTCTGTCTTCGTTATAAGTTCCTTGAGTGAGAAGTGTGGGAGTGTCATTGCAAATGCTCGCTTCTCCACTCCTATTAGCAATTGGAGTACAAAGAATACCAACTCCCTCATTAGAGCATTTTCAATTTTTAGTAGCAAGAAGGACTAAATATGAGAATCGATAAAATGTTCATAAACTAAAATTAGTAACTAAATTGTTTGAGGTCTTGTTGGGGTTGCTTGAGTTAAGGCCCATAAAAATTAGTCAAAAAAGGTAAAAATAGAAGGGTAACTAGGAATTGGAGGCGTTTTCACAAGAATACAGATAGTCTCGAAGGAACCTGTGAATGTGTATATTCGAGAAATACTCGAGATTAAAGGAGCAAAGAGGAAGTTATCAATAATTATAAGCAGTTAAAAAGGGTACGTCAAGCTGACGAGGAAGTTACCAAATAGAAAGTACCAGACCGTCTCTAAGGGACACTTTCGAGGATCGAACAAGGTAGACATGGGATAGGCGGTTACAAGAAGTTAACGCAAGTTACGAAGAAATCGCATAAGTCACGTAGTGAACAGCAGTTATACACTCCACGACGATCTTATACGTAAATAACTGCCTCCAATTATCTCTACAAATAGAAGAAGCGATCTCGTACACAAGGTCGGAAAATCATGTTTGAAAACTCTCACAAGCACTTACTGCCTGCGCATATGGCTTTCATGCACGAGATCACTGGGTATGATTTCTTGGCCACGTTTTTCTTGTTTTCTAGGATTGTGTTAGTGTAGTTTAGCCTAGGTTGGTAATTTGTTTTCTTCTCAAGATATTCTATGTATTGTAACTCAACAATTATGTGAATCAGATCATGATTGGTATTGCCAATATATATATGGTTCACTCAGTATATTTGAATGTCTACATGCATGAAAACTCTCTTTTGATAACTATTGACGAATATTTAGAAATTGGTGCATGTTGATTTCAGTGTAGTTATCACCCTCTTAAGTGTTTTGGCAAAGTTCTGGTTACACGTACCTAAATTAAAAAAACTTTTACTAGTTTGAATAAAAAGAACCCATATACGAAATTCACCAAAACCGATCTAAAAACAAAAATTGACAAAAATTTCAAAAGACCAAATCAATTTTTATATATATATATATATATATATACATATATATATATATAATACTAAAAACACGTTTTAAATTTAAAATATCTAAAAGATAAATTTTAAATTTTAAAAATTAAAATAATAATCTTTTTTTAATTTTACAAACTAAAAACATAAATTTTAAATTTTAAGGAAAAAAATACATACTTTAAATTTAAAGGATAAACAATATAATTAAGTTAAATTTTATTATACATACTTAAAAAATGTGACTACGTTAATTATATCACATCTAATCTAATTTTAAAGTTAATATTATTTGATAAGTAAATCTGAATTGCAGTTTCATATGTTATATATATTTAAATTGAGTTCACTTTGATAGGTGCACATATGTCACATGGCTGATGCGATGATAACATAATGGGTGATGCACTAGCCTCAAGAAAAATATGATATGCTTGAAGATCCAATTATTAGTCTATTCTGATTTAGTTTTGATTTGGTGGTTGATTGAATTATTCGATAACCTTGTATTTGGTCATGAATTTAACGATAGTACTAGTCGAGAGTTTTTTTTAAGAAAAATGTCAGCTGAATAGCAATCTAAACACAATCAGGAACAGGATGTTCTGGAACATTGTATTTTATGTCTGTGGGATTAAATAAATAATTGCCAAGCATTTTTTTTTTTGTACAATAAAGAAAGTATTTTGGGAGAAGCAAAGTATTATTTTCTCGAACAACTAAATTTGATTAATTATTTTTTCCTTCACGTGGTGATTATTATTAAATTCTATTTATTTTCTTGAATATTTAATTATCTTGACTGTTCGTATAGGAAGATTTTATTACGGGATATAAAAATTTATTTTGATAATTTCATAGTATCCTATTATCTTTAGCGTAATAATAATAATAATATATAGTTTGAAGGTTCATCTCTATTTCACTTAACTATAAGAAGTAAGAACCAACCTAAAAAATAAGAGCAGGTTACAAATAGAAGTTGAATATGTCTTATACTAAGATAATTTGAAAGGCTAGTTATAAATTTGTTAGTTTTTATAACGATTATTTTTAAAATTATATAAAATAGTTTTTAATTAATTAGTTGATAATATAAAACAACAATACATGAAAATTAAATTATCTACTTAGAGCATCTTTAATTCCAAATTAATTTGTCTGAAATTTTTATAGATTTCACATTGTCATATGAGATTTAATTCCAAATTTGTCTGAAATTTTTATAGATTTCACATTGTCATATGAGATTTAAGAATCAATAATATTTTTCACTTTTTAATTTTTTTTTTTTTATATAAAAATTGAACTCGATACCGGAACAATTCCAGCATACTACTCAATATTAACTAGACTACCAAATAATCAACTCTAAATTGCTCTTACATTTATTAATTTCCCAACACGTATTTTCGGTGAATTCTTCTTTTTCTCACTGTATGCTTCCCTTCTAGTTAAATATAGGACATATAACACTAAGAGCAACTTCAAGGGATTTGTGGAGTGCTCTTAATAAATAACTAAAGAATTGTTCACTACAGTGGTAGCCTGTTAAGCAGTGATGAATGTAGAACTTTGACTCAGTAGAAACATTTTTTTTAAATAAAAAATATATGATAATAATAATAATTATTATTATATATATGAAGATAAAATCATAAATATTGAAGTTATAGAATTTTAATATATCATACATATAGAAAAGATAAATTGTGACCTTCAAATCAAAATACTTGAATAAAAAATAATAAACATATAGAAAAATGAAAATTTTGATGTAATGGGTCCAAAATTAATTAATAAAAGTAGGAGAGGAGGCAAAATATATAAATTCTAGATATTTTCTTGTAATTTTATCAAAATCTTTGCTCACCCTCAACTGAATTGTAGGTCTGTTAGTGTCAAATTTTTTAGTCTAAAATGCACCTTTTATGAAATAATAATAAGTTAGTAACATTAATATTATTGATAAAATATAAGAATGAGAGATTATTAGTAAGTCTCATTTATAAAAAATTTAAAATTCAAATGTATAGTTTTTTTTTAAAAAGAATGGAGAAGCTATAAAAGCGTACATACCTTCTTTTAAAAACCAAGACTATCCCCGCAGACCGTAGCTTTTAGCTTGTTTATTTATTTATTTATTTTCTCTGACTACTGTCTTATTTTTTTAATTAAAAAGAGAAAAAATGTGATACACGAAAGGGACAAGTGTATGATACACTGCTTACATTACATGTCTTCTCCAGTCTTAAATGTGCCATACCTATTCATTATTAAGCCAATAATTTGCTGCACTATTTTAGTAACGTGTTTGAAAGCTGGTTTTGCTTTGCTCAGTGTACCAACTCTATATCTTGTGATCATAATAAAAGCAACAAAACAAACAGACTTGAATTCTCTCTCTTCTTGAATTGATGAATCGCATCACCTAAACGACACTTAATCAATTATGCCTCAATCTACTTACAACATTTATATATTAATTAATACTAATATATATATATGGAAGGCTACACATATATATCAGCATAGTTAGAACTAAGAATTTCAACAGCATGGAAACTAAAGAATGTTGCAAATTAAAAGTGATTCCTCAAAGACACAGACACACTCGTTGGTTCTGTGGGGAGCTTGCACATCGAAGGACATTGAGGAAGAGGTGTTCATCACAAGGAATGCAGAGTTTTGAGTCTGCAATGAAATCATACTCTTCCTGAGCTTGATCTAGCAATGCCCTGAAGAGAGGGTGATGGAGCAATGCGATCTTGATCACATATCTCTTGTGGTTCTCTCCCACGTACACAACCAAGTGACCCTTTGGAACATCACTTGGAATGGAGCAACCTTCATGCAAAGTAGAGGACCACAAAGCCCATTCACAACAGTGCTCACAAGTACCACAAGATATGACTCTACCCCCCATTTTCTTGCACTTCTTAAGGCACCCTCTAAGAAATCTTGACTTCATGGTTACTTTTGAGAGAGAGAGAGAGAGAGAGAGAGAGAGGATTAAAAGTGCAGTGAGTACTTGAGAAAGTGATAAGGTATATATAATTGTGGCATGGGAAGAATCAATCGTCTGGAGCATTAAATGGTTGACATGATTGGTAGCCTATGCTATTTGCTAATGATATAATTATGGGGATCAACATATACATTATTCAAGTGTGCCAGTTATTGACTTAGTTAGTTAGCATTTGTATATAACTCTGATACGACACTGTACGAACATGCATGGCAATTTTAAGATATGTATATATATTTATAAGTTCTTGTTGATTAGTACTCTTAGGAAGTTGGTTAAAGAATTAATATATAAATTCTTTTTTTATTGTACAATAAAGTTATACATATATTATGTAAACAGTTTTTTTATATAAAAAAAAAACTTTCTAATTCTGATTGGTTAACCATTGTCCAAAGGAAACCTGTCGGCAATTTCCGTATATAAAATATGACATATGACTGATTAATTAAGATCGATCCTAGAAAGTAAGGGCTCTGTACTTCTCTGAAATTCTCCAAGGCTAGTGCTTAATCACTGATTCTTTCCAAGTTCTGAGTGTTATGCAAGACCCCACAACTCGAGGGAAAGATAAGATATGTGAAAAGAGGTTGTGGGATAAGTTTCTTGGGCAAAGTGCGAGCCCACTTTGTTTCAAATGCACAGGTATGGATAAAAGATTGAGGCACTTTATTTAGATTCAGAGAAGGGCTTCAACTTTTTTGAGTCGTAATCGTTGAAAATTTTGTACTGTCAAGTGTTAAAAGTCGGCAAAAACAACTGTTTTGGTGCCACAAAGTGGATCATATGATAATGCGAGTGTGTGCATACTGGTGTTAGCGGATTTGATATCTACTGAGGAAGTGGAGCTACATGATTATTAAAAATGTTTTTTCTACATATTGTGGGGGGTTGATTTGAACTAATCTGTAATTAATCAGCCACTTTCTATGTATAATGCATTAATGTTGGTGTGTCCCTTTCAATTTTCAGTGGCTTTTTCTTGTTGGGATGTGAATTTATTATTCCCATTTGGATTGGTCTTAGCTCACTACTTATATATGTTGAATTAATTATCTTAAAGCATGGTTTTTCTAGGACTAAAGAGGGTACTGTCCGTACAAAAATCACACATCAAGTTTACTAGATATGGTTGCTACATTCTGCTAATGGATTTGGGATAAGTTTCACTGTTCCCTCCATTGCTCGCAGAAGTACAGGAAATGGGCTACGTATTGCAAAAGGGATGGAAGGAAATATCTCTTGTTGCAGATAGGAGAATGGAAGTCACAGTTTTTACACTGAAAACTGAACAAATGTAGAATATGTGACTGACATCTTTGATTTGATTCCTTTCCCATGTTTCCTCATAACGGATCTTTAGAAAACTCAACCAGGATATCAAATTTAATTGGCTTCATCTTATGGATATTATCAATTTAGCACCATCACTGTTGCCTAAGAATTAGTACTTAGAAGACAATACTCTAGTGAAAGGAAAACAAAACACACAAACAAACATAATTTGAACCAAGCATTAACGGTTAGCTAAGAAAGGTTGGAGTTAATGTGGAACATTTTTTGAGGTCCAATTTTTGTTGTGCAAATGGAAAATTAAAAGCAACTTACATTCATAAATATAATTTAATTCAGAATTTGAGGTTCCCTTTTTTTTTTTTTTTTCCTGGGTCTGTTCTTCTTACAGAGATGCGCAGAGAGATGATTGAGAGCCAGCACACTGATTCATCCCCTTTAAGACAAATGTCGGTTGTGTTTGGTTGGTTGAAAGGAATAGCACGATCAGTTTCACACGTGATTATTTGTAGTAAACTGCCAACACTTTTCCAAAATGATATAAAAAAGCCCTTTAAGGATCTTATGAAATTACTCAATAAAATTATGTTCTTATATTTTAGGTGATTTTTATTCTCATGATGAAGGGTAGGAAAAATGATATTATATGCAGTGTTATTTTTTTTTTTATTACACTTGTAATTTTTTTTTTATATTTAACTTATTTTAAAATTAAAAAAAAAAATCAAAATATACTCAGACACTATTAAATATACCCAAAAATGATATTTCTAGTTATAATATCCCAAGAAACGTAATTTTCAAAAATATAATACGATATCTTGAAATAAATACATTTTTAAACTTTATTGGTTGCAAGAAAAGAAATGAGTGAGAAATGAAAAGGTGAATAAAAATGGATAAAAAAAATACATTAAAATTTAAAATGTTTAGTTTGAAAAAAGCACGAGAGATGAAAGAAAAATAATATTAGCAATTCACCTTATTTTTTTCTATATTTATTTTTAAATTATTTCCAATATTCGGTGGAAACATGAAAATCTAAGTTCAATCCTTATTGTGATCATTTTTCCATTCTATCAATCAAAACATTAATTTTTTTAATAACTTTTTGATCAATATAATATTTTTATTACAAGACTAGCAATAAAAAAAAAAGTACTTCGTGCTTTTGTAAAATTTTTTCTTTGAATAAGTAGAAAGTTACTATTTTAAAACAAGTAGACATTATTATATATATATATATATATTATTTTCTCCTTAAATATATTAGTGTAAAAAGTTAAAATACAAATATAAAATTATAATTGTCTTTGAATAGTGGCCACAAAAGAAGATTATCAGAGTTGCGTATCAAGTTGTTTTATTTTTTCCACAACAGAAGATCCCTTCCCATGAAAATCAGTCTCATAAATTGAACGAGTTTGTTGACAGCGTTCACGAAGGAGTTGGCAGTTAACTTTCATATATTTTATTCTGAAGCAGGTAACGCGTATCCAACCACACACTACATTTTCTGTAAGTCTTATATATAATAATACAAAAACCAATGAATATCACTCACGTACGTACATATATCCATGAACCGGGTATCCGTATCTATACCATGTACCTGCTAAGTGCTAACTATGGCTGATTGAACAATGGACGTAAACACGCCTCATAAAACATTCTAATAATCATTATATTGATTGAATTGAATGTCATCATTTAATTCATAATTTGTTGGAAAAGAAGGTCCAATTTTAAGGAAACAGCATATATATCACATTGCATATAAAAGTAATGGCAACGAACGTGAGTTATATTTTGGTTAAAGCGAGCAACATGTAAGAATGATAGATAAGGTTCAGTCATCAGTGAGAGTGAGGGTACACTGAAAGGACGTGGTGCACATGAGGTTTGGGCCACGGGGCTCACGAGTGGGTGAGAGGATATTATGTGATATAACTCTCTCAAAAGAGAAGAAATGGTCGGTGACACCTCAACACACTTGCACTCTATAGTCTATATAATATATGGTTCGCAGCCATTTTGTGCATCTAAATTATTTTGATTAGACACTCTTTGCTTCACTTTCACGTGCGTTCCTGTGTTTTCTTGAGCTGTCACACATTATCATTTTGTTTCCACTTCTCCCTAACTGCCCCATTTCCTCATGCCTTTATTCAACACCTCTCCATGCTTCCTTCTGGGAAGCAAACTCCTCTTCTTTCTTCTTTTGGAAACTTGTTCTTGTCCACAACACCGCGTCAACTTCTAAAATGTACTTTAGCGTCGGTAGAGTTCTCAAGGAAGGCCTTCACATGATACATATTCTTCGCCACTCTGGTTTATTTGTTACAAAGTTCAATATTCACGCGCAACTTTCACCTCTTGCCTCTCAAATATACACGATCCTCTCATCATGCTAATATAATTTTACGAGATTCAAAATCCAACTAATGATAAAGTTTGATCTTTGCATGTCAGGTCGTGTATGAGTTTGAAAGGATGTGATTACCCTTTTTCTATCAGAAGAAAACAACATGTTACTGCTATGTTAGATTGATAAACCTCGGCATAAATAATTGTCTGTTCTTGCAAAAATAAATACATTACATCATATATCTCTTCTCCTAATGCATGTTAATATGAAGAAAAGAATTTAGAAGAAAAGAATTTAAAAGAAGTTCCTTCAACTGAACATGTTCCCCCTCTCATCTCTTCCCACACTCACGGCACAAAGTAATTTGTATATACGTCGGTCTATATTTACGTGTAAACATTTTTTCCTTCAAACTTACACTATTCCTTTACCGAAAAAAAAAATACTATCCTTGTAGTTGTAACACGATAGCCATAAGAAAATACATGAGAAAAGTGTACAAGAGACAATGTAATGAAAAGATATTGAAAAAAGAGAATTACAAAAGAAAAAAAAAACATAAAAAAGTGAAGTATAAATGATATGACTCCTAGAAAGCACAACCACTAAAATTCTGCAAAAAGAACCCACAGTATTGTTTATCACAATCATGATGAGCTCCAGGCTCTAGCGTAGTGCAATCAGGACCCAATATGACCCAATGACTCATCCTCGAGATGCTTCTGGGTCCTCTCAAAATTAAACATTCTTTCCTCCAATAAAAAAAGTGATTGAAGACTTGAAAAAGAAGAATAGTAAAAAAAAAAAAGTGTCACTTCCGTTTAAAATCGATTTATAAAGTGAAAAATTATACACCATATTAACCTTATCTTGCATGAAAACCGGATATCTGACGCAACTCTGATACATTTTAAAATGTAAATTTTAGATGTCAAATATACATATACATATAATCCAATTCACTGCCAGTTGCCTTCACTCAACCATTCATTTGTTACATTGAGTCAGACACAGCTCTACACATTTGTCAGGCATCAAGACTAGATTTTAGTACACTAAGGCTTTGTTTGGATTTGAAGATGGAAAAGGGGAAGTGATAGAGTTAATCATCTATATATTGTTAGTGTAAAGTTCTTTTTACACTGATAACTAATTATATTTTTTAATTGTGTCATGTCACTGTTAAAAGTAAATATTTTTATAGTGACATGACACAATTAAAAGATACAATTGATTATCAGTGTAAAAAAACTTTACATCAACAGTATATAAGTGATTAACTCTAAGATATTGAGACAAGTTTTAGTAAATAAAAATAAATATATAATTAAAAATTAAACTAAAAATAATTAATCAAATTTTTTTATAAAAATTTATCGCTAGTCGATATTTCACACAAAAATTGGAAGTAACAGAAAGTTAGCATGATCACATGATATTTAGCTTGGTTTTTGTTTAGTAAACTTTTATTTTTCTTTATTTATTCACTAAATACTCTTTTTTAGAAAGTATCTTAATTGATGTATTCAACAAATTTTTAATTTTGTACCCAATGCATACAATATTAAAGATGAGACGAAAAATTATAATTTAAAAATTGAAATTAAGGGTGAAAAAATAGAATTTAAAAAAAATGTTTATAAGTATCTTAATTGCTATAGAAGAAAGAATCAGAAAAGAAAAAAGTATAAAGGAATAAAAGAAACAAATGAAAAGTGATTAAAAATAGTAAAAAAATGAGGAAGGATGGAATTTTTTAATTGTGTCATGTCACTGTTAAAAGTAAATATTTTTATAGTGACATGACACAATTAAAAGATACAATTGATTATCAGTGTAAAAAAACTTTACATCAACAGTATATAAGTGATTAACTCTAAGATATTGAGACAAGTTTTAGTAAATAAAAATAAATATATAATTAAAAATTAAACTAAAAATAATTAATCAAATTTTTTTATAAAAATTTATCGCTAGTCGATATTTCACACAAAAATTGGAAGTAACAGAAAGTTAGCATGATCACATGATATTTAGCTTGGTTTTTGTTTAGTAAACTTTTATTTTTCTTTATTTATTCACTAAATACTCTTTTTTAGAAAGTATCTTAATTGATGTATTCAACAAATTTTTAATTTTGTACCCAATGCATACAATATTAAAGATGAGACGAAAAATTATAATTTAAAAATTGAAATTAAGGGTGAAAAAATAGAATTTAAAAAAAATGTTTATAAGTATCTTAATTGCTATAGAAGAAAGAATCAGAAAAGAAAAAAGTATAAAGGAATAAAAGAAACAAATGAAAAGTGATTAAAAATAGTAAAAAAATGAGGAAGGATGGAAAAGCTAATTTTTTTTTAAATAAATTAAAAAGATTATTATTATTAAATAGAGATGGAGTATCTATTAAAAATAAGAGGCGTATATTTGCCTTCCAACAAATATATGCACTGAGGTCTGGCCATGTTCATCATTATTTGTATTATAATCCAAATTTAGTGAATCGATCCATTTTGACATATTTTTTTTTAAATCTGTGCCGGGATAAATTATATTTTTTAATTGTGTCATGTCACTGTTAAAAGTAAATATTTTTATAGTGACATGACACAATTAAAAGATACAATTGATTATCAGTGTAAAAAAACTTTACATCAACAGTATATAAGTGATTAACTCTAAAAATCATACTATTGAAGGCATAAGGCATTAAGCATCGCAAATTATTGTAGGACAACTAATGATTACTCATGTTTACAATTCAAAATTTCTATGCCTTTGTAGATACACAAGCAGAAATTACTTGACAGTATAAAATTGTGCAGATGTTATACCTAAATTTCGACAAGATTCTTTTGACTACGGATTTCCCTGACTGAATTACACATGAACTATTAAGTACACTTCTTCCTACGTACACTTCTTTTGCTAGGAGAATCTTTGGCAATGACAAAAGAGCCAGCTTGGCTAACACGCGATTTCTTGGACCCACGTTGCCTAGGGTATGGGTGAATTTTAGCCAATTCTCGCACACGATGTACCACATTAAATGGTAAGGGACGCAGGGCAAGCTCGTCATTTTGCTCAGCCTGTAATCACCACATGATCATTTATATTATTAACTTGTCCTCGTTTCCCAAACTAAATCTTGCCAGAGATAGCATATATTAAAAAAGAAAACAACTTTATGTAAGTACCGCATCACATAAGGTTGGAAAAGTATTGGTACACCGTACACCAATTTAAGTTCGAAACATCAAAGTAAGTTCCTCAAAAGGAATAAAGAAAGCTAACCTCTGTCTTGTTTTTCTGTGCAGAACTGGCTCTCAAAAGGTTTCGCCACTTGTCCTGCAGAAATCTCACATTTAGAAAACAGGTCTGGAAGAAGGTGCAACTGAATAAGGAAAGCTTTGAGAAGTACCCTGAGATCTATGGGAGTTCGGTAGCTCGAAGAAGAAAACAAAAACCTCTTTATATCAGTCCAACGACCAACTCCATATTCTGATATGCCTTCAACCAACTTCATCACTTCAGGGAGAGTCCACATCTTCTGATGTTTTCTTCGATCGTTTCTTCTAGATCTTTTTGTTGTGGAACATCCATCCTCAGATTCCGAGGGAAAAGACTCCTCATCATACTCAAGTTCCTTAAAAATAAATGTCTTGTTAGATGAAAGAGAACAATTTTAGATCTGCAGACCATAGCCATAAATAATAGGCATGCATGTTAATATGCAGTTATCGTCTCTAAATATACACTTTCCCCACCAACACAAGGGCAATTCAATCTCGTAGATAACATAAATACTAAATCTCAACCACAGGAACAGTTCTGTTTCAACAGCCCAGTCACAGAAACAGTTATGATGAAGCTCAGAGAAGACCAGGGAAGCATGATGAAGCTCATTCATATCAATAAGCAAGTGAAATCAAACTTCACACCTCAATTCATCAAGATACAGTGGACTGAATTTTAACAAATAATACAAGTTGAGAAATAAAATTTATACGTAGGTCACATAATTATCAAATATTGATATTCATGCTCATGCATAAGTATTCAAAACCACAAGATAGAGAATGTATATCAAAACAGATCATAAAGTAATATATACACAATGATACAAAATATAACTAAAGAAAGGATCTCTCGCAACCCAAAGGGCAGGTTATGAAGAAATGATACTCCCCTACTGAAGAATATAAAGGGATAAAAGGGCCCTAACAAAAACAGTACCTCTTTCTTCAAACGCCCTTTGCTAACTTGCAACTCAGGAAGTATCAAGTCACTATTTTCATTACTAGACTTCTCGCTTGGACTCTCTTTCAATGCTTTAATTCTTATATGAAATACATTACATGATGAGTCACTTGAATGTTTAGCTTTTGTATCAGCAGTTGGTACCTTTTCTTTTGACCTTGAATCTGAAAATTCTTCAATATACCTCTGAGTAGGCTTTCGGAATCTCTTCTCTCTAAGTGCAGCAGGTTGGCATTTTTCAACAAGACCCTTTTCCTTCTTACATGTCAATAACCCACTAGCTACTTGACAATCATTATCCAACCCTTGCAGATGTTGTATATCAAGTGAAATGTTGTACCTGCAATTTACTTTTGATGGTTGACTTGGATTGTTCCTGAAGGTACCATGTGATTCATAGGTTACTGTCTCATCTAGAGAATCATTTTTACATTCAGATTGTGCAATAGGTACTTTTGTTGATTCTAATACCCCACCAACAATGCTACTTCCGCTTAATCCAGAAGAATGACTTTCTGAACTTGAGTTTTGCAAGAGTGAACCTTCAAAAGGATCAGAGCCTAGTACCTCCTCAAATTTGCCAGCAAATTCAAAATCTGTAGATTGCAAAAATAAATTGCAATAAGCAAAACAGAAAGCAATAATGGAAAAGAGGAAGCAGAAACTATTTTTTTTTTCCTTCCTTTCTATCAAAATATCATAGCAGAAGATTACATCTTGATAGTTGTAATTGTCATGAACCAAATATGCCACAAGCTCATGAATAGTTTTATATTTCATCTATAACAGGTCCCCTCAAAGAACCTTTGGGCTTGAAGCATAGACAATGCACAGGCCTATCTTGTGTTAACCTTCGACTTTTTTTATTAGAAGAATAGCATCGTGGGATCAATATCAAACCTATATTATTTAGTCACAGAGACTAATATAATGTCATGAACCAATTATCTCAAAAACATAATTAGTAAGGGGAAGACACGTGAATTGATTTATATTACACCTCTAAGAACAGTTAATCATTTACCCAATAAATATTCTTCACATGCACCAGAGAAACCATCAGTTCCTTCAAGATCATCGATTTCAACATCATCAAGCAATCCATCAAGGACCTAACAAAATTAAAGATAATTTTCATAGCAAACAAAATAAAAACATAAACAACTTAGCAGTTATGTGACTAGCAATGCACTATAAACAATTGACATTAGATAAGGTGATATAGTCATATAAACCTGTGATGATACACTGAAGCAGTCAAGTAATCAATAACAAGCAGTATAAATATAAAAATATATGAATTACTAACTTCAATATCATCCCAACAATAATTGACAGTGAAGACAAATACCTCCAGTTCCAAATCATCCTTGTCATTCAAAGTTGTATGAGAATCCAAACAACCTGATGAGTGTAAAGACACTAGCATTAGATATAACATCCCAATAATCACCAAAGTTTGAAAGCAAAAATCATTTTTGTGCTCTGAATATAAGAAAAAGACAATGTCAATACAGCTTTATCAACTATTAAAATTTATCTAATCCAAGATAGGGTATCTCAAATATAGGAAGTTTGATTTCATATTTTTGAAAATGCAACATCAATTCTACACTTCTAAGCAATCACTGACAACAATATTCAAGTTCTGATACTACTTGATTGAATTTTTATTTTTTTTTATTGCTTGGGGGGGGGGGGGGGGGGGGGGGGGGG